ATTATATTATTGACATCATTTTTTTTTTTTGGTAGATTTTTTTTATGTGATCAATTTTACTTAATGTGATTACTGCTCTATTCCAAAAAAGGTTCCTGTTTCACAATACCTCATACTTCAGTTAACCGTGTTTAGATCAGGTTTTAATGTTTGTTCACAGTGCCTCATAGTTTTACTGCAAACAGAAATGCATTGGACATTATTCTGAATGGGTCTCGGCGATTTGCAACTAATTTGTGCTAAACATTTCAGAAGGTTGAGTAATGTCAGGTTCTTTTGTTACGTGTTTTTATAAAGTGGATTCTTTTTCTGATCTGGGGTTTATTATCATAGTAGTTTTAAGCTGTGTTATTAGCCACATTTGCTATATGAAAGGTGCATTATAATATAACTCTTATATGCCTTTTGATGTTTTCCACCAGTGAGGATTCATCATGCGGTATGATAGGTTATCTTCTGGAATTAAGTATTTTGTGTGTTTAATCTGTTATGATATATTAGGGTTTTTTGTTGATGATGTTAATTATAGCATAATGCTAATTTAAAACAAAAACAGAAAGCAACAACCTCTAAATATCTTAAGTAAGCCAGCTAATCAAGTTGTATGGTGAAGAATAATCTAGTTGCCTGTATGCTGCTAAACCAAAACAGAATTAGAACTTCATTTTGAGGGCAATTGCAGTTAAGATCCTACCTAAAGACAACAGCCGTGTAATGCTACTAGCAGTCGCAGGACCCAGGAGGACTTGATACATTCTGTCCAAATTTCAGGAACATTTCTTACTGCTTACCTCATAGACACTTCTGTTTGTGGCATCTCTGTGTCTCTGAACCAACCAAGACGATTGAGTTAATGGTTGTTAGTTGTATGACGTTAGTTTCACTGAGAAGCGGCAGTGTGTACCACAGATTTTTAAAGTATTGTACGTACTAAAAGGCCAAATGCTGACAAGCAGGTTCACGTGCCAACAGAGATGCTTTATTTGTCACATTGATATAACAATCTATAGAAAGCCAAGCAATTCAGAATTGTACTTTTTATATATATATATCTCTATATATATGTATATTGTACTTATTGTCACCACTGGTCTGAAATGCACAGTCACCAACAGACCTGTAACGTAAGTTTCCAGCAAAAGAAAAAAAGACCTCCCCTAAAAGACTAGAAATAAATTTGTAAAACCCACTGCTGGTTTTCTGCTTCGTTGTTGTTCAGTATTAACAGTGTCATTGATGATCTGCTGTGCTCAATAGATTGAATTATTACTTACACCTAGTGTTCAGACATAGAGCATATACAATCTGGTGTTCCTTTGGGAAGATATTTGGGATATTGAATAAAAGTTACAGAAAGAACTCACGGTTGACTAAAATACCAACCTGTTGAGAATACTGGAGCATAATGTTTCCCAACCAGTGCAAAGCTATGTAACTTACTAGTTTTATTATTATTTCATGTAGTAGCAGATGTTACTACGGGATTAATTTTATCATTCTCTATGTCATTTAGAAACAGGAAAAAAAACACTGCACCTTGCTAACATTACAACAGCAAAGAACATACTAAAATGTTCAGTGTAACAGAATTGAACTTGAATTAAAATGCAGTAACATTTACAGGGAAGAAATGCTGTTTCTTGTGCCCCAAGCAGAGCTTCCCTTCTGAGCAGACCCATATTTTCTTGTCTTTTTGTTTGCTTTTTGGGACCCAACCTGCGTAGCTTCCCAAAGGAAGAAAAGACAAACCAGGTGTGAAATTCTGTATCTCCATAAGCATGCTGTTGCCCAGTAGTAAAAAAGGACAGGTGAGCTAACTGCTAAGAGGAGTACCCAGGAGATGGGGGCTGAAGGCATTCTTGGGGACCCTAACAGTGCATGTGTTTTAACTTCCACGAAACAATACAGAGAGTGTTTTGGCCAAGGTCACCAATGAGCAGAGATCTGAGTCTAGATTTACCTGCCCATATACAGTACTTAACATTACCTGCCCAGATACAGTACTTAACATTTTCTTACATAGGGCTTGCAGACACTGAAACTCTTGAAATCCAATTTCAACAGCCAATGTAGCTTTGAGGCCATCCAATATGAATACAGTAGATTGTGACCTTTTTCCATCTTAATGAAGCCAGATAAAACAATCCCTTTAAAAATTCTGATTCCAAGAGGACTAAAGCATGAAATATATTCAGATGAATGAAACACATTCAAATGAATAATATTTGGCTATAAACTAGGATTGTGTTATGAATAGGTGATACATGGCAGACAGGTTAAGAAGCATCTTTGCAATGTTTATGTGATGAGTCATTAGAAATCATGGGCAGCTTTATAAATTGAATAAATTTATATAGTATACTTCGCTATCTCTATGGAGGCCTTTAAAGTTGAGGGTGCACTTCGTTCATAATTATCTAGTCCAGGGTAATAGGAGTTCTAAACCAGCAGATGTCATTGGCTTATAGAAGTTGGCTCTAGACCTTTAGGTCAGAGTTTCAAATAAAAGCAAGAATGCTGATAAAGATGGTCATATTGAATCCTGATTTGTATTACCAAGCCACATCAACGTCTGTTGGGCAAAGACAACATGAAGTTTGTTAGCTTTTGGCTCTGCAAATCAAGCCATTCTGATTTGTAAACCATAGATTATGGGTTAACTGTATGAACCCAGTCAATTGTGATTTATTAAACAAACTGGTTAAAACAAACCTTAGATCAGTCTGATGTGTGAACCTAGCCTTAGACTCTCATTCCTACTGTCTTAAATTTACTAAACATGCCCTGACCAACTTTTTCCAGAAAGGTTTGTGAAAGAAAAGCTTAACCATGATCAGGGTTGAATCTGAATCGGGTGGAATGCCAGTAGCACTCAGATGCAACACCTTTTCTGTTCAGGGATAACAAGATCTGTTCAGTTTTGGAACCACCAACTACATGGGATTGTTGTATGGAGATATTTGTACCACACATTCCCTGCCTCTACCAGCCAGACCTGACATTAGTGCTAGGGACTTTATTCTAACCAGCTCGCTCACCCAGGCTAATATTTATAGAGAGAGGCAGAGAGGAAAGCAGAGTTACCACAGAGGGAAGAATAGAAGCAGCACTGCCATTGACTAAAAATGGGGACCAGAAGATGTTTCTAGACCATCATGCCATTGGACTAGGGTAGTACCTCACAGCCTAGCAAACTTTTAAAACTTGTCTGTCCATCCATCCAGCTATCTAGCTGTCTATATCTCCCCGTGGAGATCCAGTTATAAGTTGTGACTAAAATAATGGAAACCAAATGATACTCAGCACTTGCAATCAATATTTGATCTCTGTATTTCACTACCAATATTTTATGTCTGACCAATCTGAAACCAAATTATTTGTTTTTAAATCAAATTTAAAGAATTAACACAAATATTTGTATAATTCTGTTCAGCCTTTCCTTAGGCTTCTCCAAAGTATTGCATTCAGTTCAAAAAACTTCCGCTTATTCAGAAGGAAGAAGTGAATGAAGACTTCCTACATATCTAATCTTACAGGTGGCTCAATTCCTTACATGTGTAGGCTGAATGCTCACTCATAACTGACACATGGGAGAGACTGGAGCATTGGTGCAATCCACCCCAAGCTTGGAACAGCTCAGCTTCAAGTTCAAAACACCTGTTAGGAACTTAAATTGAAACGCATGGGGAATGATTGGAACAGCATCAAAACACTTTTAGTAAGGTCAGAAGAACACATTCAAACTTGAAACTGCTGTTTCAAATTACACACCCCTACTTACTATCAACAAAACAGCATCGTTAACATATAATCATCATTAGAGATGCTTAAGCAACCTCCTTATCCAGCTATTCTACAAAATAGGATCATTTCCTATATTCCTTTCCTTAACAGTTTTTATTTGTGTGTAGTTTCAAAGGATTTTCTTTGAAACTACACACAATAGAATTATATCGAAGACTTGTCTATTCCATGTCACAGGAGCTGCATTCTAACTAGCCTGCCCAAGGAAAAAGCTCATCTTCCTAGACCAGCCTTTATTATCATGGGTCCATCTGGATGGTTGGACTATAGCTCCAAAATTCCCAGCCAGCACACCAATGGTTAGCCTACGAATTATGAGAGTGATAGTCCAACAGTCATTAATAAGAAAGCTTACCTATTTTGGACACCTAGTGCAAATGCTATAGTCATTAAAGAAGACACTGATGTCTGGAAAAAAAATCAAAGAGGCCAACAGAAGATAAGGTGGATAGATACTATAACCAATGATACAAGCATGAGCTTAGAACTCAGTTACTGACAGACAATCCTGGTGAAATGAAGTTTCTCAAGTCAGGGAGTTGGAAGCAACTGAATGACTGAACAAGTCTAACAATAAGAGGGCGGAAAACAGGGAAAGTGCTTTAGTAACAATGACATCCAATTAAGGTCAGCAGAAATCTTCTTAGGCATCAAATAGGCAATTATCTCCACATTCGCTATAGGCTGTGAGGACAGCAGTAACACCAAAACGCCAGAGAGGAGTTTTAACATTACTCCCAATTCCCATCCCAGCATTTTTCTTTGTTCCTTTCCCAACCAGACACAAGTAAATATTTTGCATTTAAACACTATATCCTATTGCAAGCTACTTTGGAATCATTTAAATGAAATCAGGATAAAAAGATGACATTGTCAAAATTAATATATGACTGCATATATTAATAATCATTCACTATTTCTATTTTGATTTTACTGTGTGGAGTTGCATTTATAGAAACAATAATTAGATAGGTAGACAGAGCTATAGATAGATATAAAACAGTACATTAGGTCTTTATTTTTTTTTAAGTGTACCTAAACCTAAATGTGTTGTTCTTTTTGAAAAAGAAAAAGAAAAAGCTTGTTAGAGAACAATATGGGCATGTGTTTTTAAGCTACTGTTCATGCAGTCTGGTCAGGACTGTGTGACACAGTATACAGTGTTTTGTCATCCAAGGAATGTCTTTGATCAAGCATTTATGCAAGAAGGGGGAAGAAACCATGAAACCCTAATCCGTTCCCACAGTCTAGTAAACGTGAGTTGGACAAACACTGGACAATAGCAGTAAAGCTTGCTGTTGGAACAATAGCACCAACTAAAAAAATTAAAGACCTGCTGATTCACATTCAAAAAAGATTCCATGCAATATTGATTAGTCCCTAGATTCTAAGGGACCTGAATTATAAACTTCATTTACACCTTCTGTGTATTTCTAAAAAGCATTTCTGCTTCAAATGCAGTGAAAAGCTACAGCTAATTTTCCCTTTTTGTAAAACTGTTAAAATAGAAAAATGTCTAAGCATCAATACATTGTGTTCCTTAATATTGTTCTTAAAAACAGGAAGATCCATTTGCAGCTATCACTGTTGCATTTGCTGTTACATCATTGAGAATCATTATGAAACTAAATTCTGTTTAGCATTAAAGCAGGCTTATATTTAATGCACATGGAACATGATGAAACAAGTATAGGGGAAGGGGGAAAATGTGCACCCATAATAATTGCTGAAGAAAAAAATAGAATCAATAAGAAATAGTATTTTTCATAGATTATGTCCAGTCTCACTAGCTCTTCATGAGAATGTCACCAAACATAAATACAGATGATTATCTACCAAGATCATCTGTATTGGATTTACAAAAGGCTTTTGACCAAGCTGCTCACCAGACTCATGAGTAGACTTAGAAGTCATGGGGTAAGAGAAGAAAATTAGTTATTAAACTAATTTAGCAACAAAGGCAGGGTGGGGGAATAGTCCATTTTTGGAAATTGAAGGATCAGGGAATGACTGGGATTAATTATTTTTAAACTTACAGTATTCATAAATTATCTGCAGTTGAGATAAACAATGAGGTGGCCAGGTTTGCTGAAGATAGCAATTTAATTAATTAATCAATCAATCAATCATTCATTTTGGGCACTGGCCAACTCTGAACTGACCCTGGGCAGTTCACAATATAAAATGGGATAACAGAATTATTACAGGAGTCCTATCTGCAGAACAATTCAGACTTCAAGCATTTGATTAGATGGTGCTGTGCAAAAAACAAAACAAAAACTGTAGTAAATGTCAGTGTTCTGGATGCTTCATTTTGAAGTGCTAATGTTTTTATACTATTCCAATTTCAGGAAGGTCAAAGATATTATAAATTGTGCACCAATTTATAAGGTCAGACATCAACTTTAATACTGTAAGTAATGAATGCATTGCCTCTTATGTATTTATCTACCACCCTTTTTGTTATGCACCTCCAGGCAGCGTCCATTGTTTTAAAAAAGCTACTGGGAGAGGTGTGTAAAGCTTTCTATGCTGGATACAATCAAAACTGCATAAATATAATTAGTTTCTCCCACTTGCCTCTTGCTGGGTGGAGTGGGGACAGAAAATATGTGACACTGTGTGTAGAAAGAGAAGACTAAAAATGCTAGAAAGAATGATGTATTAATTTGCCACAATCCTACCACAATGTTCTCTGGGTATCTTGTAATCCTAACATTCATGTCAACAGCCATACTTATAATGGGAGTTCTACTCCAACATGTATGGGAGCTGCAGTCCAACAGATCACAAGAACATAAATTGGAAGACGTTAACTGTATCAATAGACTGATCTACCAGTAGCCCCTCTTTTGAGGCAGGATAGCCTGGCATCCCTTGTACCAGTAACCTCTCCATTGGATTACAGCCATGGGATATATGAGGCTACTGCTGAAGATAATTTGGAAACTTCAGTTAATTCACATAAAACTGCAAGTTTATTAACTAGGAATGACTGATATGACCACACTGCCAGTCCTTTGCCAGCAGTCAATCAACTTCCAGGTCCATTTTGAGATACTGGTGCTGACATTAAAGCCTCTGGTAGCTTGGGACCAGAAAATCTTAAGCAAAGCCTCCTCCCTTATCTACCTACCCATGTTCTTATGAGCCCTGTTGATAGAATGCTTTCTTCAGAAGAACATAGGCTAAATGAAAACATTACTTTTTGAATGGCTTTTCTATAGTTTGCATTCAAAGTCTTAGTGCCTGCTGTTCAATGAAATGTTTTATATTTTTCATGTACTATTTATGTTTTCATTGCATTTTATTGTTTTCACTGTTGTTTGTAAATGTTTCAATAATCTATTCAAAAGATTTCAGTAAGTGGGCAGAGAAGAAACATAATAAATTCAATACAAAATGAGATGTGTTATACCAAGTGAAGCAAAGCATCACATTTGTTTCAAAAAGCCCAAATATTCTAAATCTCATTAAATACTACTCAAACATTTCCCCCTAATTATTAAAATAGCTATCTGTATAGTAGAGGGGAAAACAAAAGGCAGTACATTACCTGGGATCAAAGCAGAAGGGTCATTTTTGTCTGTGTCAAACATCAGTGCAAATTCTTAGACAAGGGAGTAATTTCTTATACATGTTAATGATCTGGGTTGTGTTACTCCAAAGTACAGTCTTTGATATAATTAAATCTTTACCTTAAAAGCTGCCGCCTGGAAAAAGACATTCTGCACTTGGCATGGTGTATATTTAATTTGGTAGCATGAAGAACAATGGTGTAGACATAAAAGCATTTATGGATCTTAGGTTTCAGAAACCTTTCAAACTGAGATTAATCTCTGTTGTGTAAATCAAGTCCATATAAAGCAATCAGCAATGCCTTTTCTAAGCAATTTTTGCAGGTGGATTTGTTACTAATTTTTCTCCATTTCACCAAAATGAGATACTGCATTGAATGGAGCAGTTTTAGGGTGGTGGGCTTTTTAAATAGTAATAATAATTTGATGTAAAAACCTAAATCACTAACTTTAGAAACACACACCTGATTATGTCTTGTAATCTGACTAGTAAATGTGCTGATGAAAAAGTCATATTCAAACAAAATGACATCTTCAAAGTGAACAAATGTTCTAGGTGTCACAACTTTTTCTTATCACAGTATTTGAACAAAGAACTATTCAGACAGAGCACTGTCTTTTACTCCCTTCTGTATTATCCAAAATGCTGCTGGAGGATTAGAAAGAACTCTTGAAAGGCACACATTTTGATTGCAAATCAGCCATATTATTTGTAAACTGCTTTTCCAGACTCTTCTTACACAGGGGTATGATTAAGAGTTCTCTTCACAGGATTTATTTTCTTTTGTACTTCCATATTACTGTTTTAATTAGTTTTCTTTTTCCCCAAAGTAAAAACTGTATCAATAAATGGGTTAAAACAGAGCTACTTTCACAGATTTCTAGTTTAAATAACAGACTGAAATACCACAACAATCAATTTGAAGAAAATAATATTTTAGTACAAATATATAACACAAAGCAGGCAGTGAATTTGACCACCTTATGATCAATACAACAGATAACACTAACAGAGTACAATTATGGATATAACTTAAGTTACAGGTAAAGCTTCAGAATAGAACTTTGAATACATGAATGAAGAACATCCAGCTGTTTCAGCAAACACTGTCTCAGTCATTATAATTCCATCTTTTAAAAACAAAACAAAAACTTTCCTCCTAAAGCCAATTTAGTTTTTAAAAAACTGTTTGGAATTTCAACAGAACATTGGAATTTTAAATTTTAAAGCTGATATAATTATTTTTCCCACTAGGTGGCCCTAACCAGCTGGTTTCTAAGATCTCAACAGTTTAAGTACAATCTTACTTGTGCAAGTACAGCACAAAGGAATCTAGCAGGATTTTAACATAACCCAGTTTTCTCCTGATCCTTCCAAGCCCAAAGCAGCAAATACAATTGGCGCAGCAGTTCAGTCCAAGGAATGGGAAAGTGCCCTACCCTTCTCGTATCCCCATGATTTAGTTACTACAGTGTTGTTGACAAGCCAATGAGGCAAAGATAAAGACACCCTACTCTTTTTATTTAAAAAGTGAATATGCTGAAGACAAGGGCTCAGTATATCTCTGAACTCCAAAGCATGGAGGAAAACATTGGAACTTCAAAATAAAATTTTAGCCTTGCTCTCCTTGAGCTGCCTTTTATTGTGTTTTTGGTGCCAGGCAAAGGAGTTTTTAAGTTTTCAGGGCTTGGTAAATACATGCTGCATTGAAACTCTTACTACTTTGACCACTGCACTGATTATTTTATTTTATTGTAATTATTATTCTAATATATTGTCTATATGCATTGTAAACCATTTCAGGAAGACCTGGACCTGAGAGGTGGCAAGCATGCTTTAAAAATGAATAAATACATGAAAGTGTTGTTCCTTGTGCAACTTCAAGTCATTACTTCAGTCTCATTTGGACTGGCAGAGTTAAGTTTGCCACTTATTTTCTCTCAAATGCCAAAGGGCAGGAAAAGAATAGGAGGGAAACAGGATACATAGGGCATGCCCATAAGCCTCCAAGCCGAATGAATTTCACCTTAATTGTTTTAATTTACAAATAAAGACACCAATACTTGTGAAAATACAGATATAGTGATAACATCTGTTTTACAGATTTGTGGGGTTTTTTGCACTAATATAGTGAAATTATGTATTTTATCGACTTCCAACAGAATGTCAGTTTTAGGAAGGCACTCTTCAGTGTTTACAAAATCTACTTGAAAAATCCTTTAAAACACTTTAGTCACCTTTTCAATATAAATGGTGGCAATAGACTATTGAACTGATGTTCTGTAGCCCAGTTATCTTCTCTAATAAATAATGTGTAACATTAATTTCTGAAAAAGTGCATTAACCAACAGCATGAAGTCACTGAGTTGAGCCTGAATGTACAAACTGAACCAATGATACAATTCAAGTAGCATAAAATGAAATTATTAGCTTTATCCTTGTAAAAGGTTAGTTATCTGCTCAGTGGGGAGAAAAGATGTTCACCTCTGTGTGAGATTTAACCACTTTTTTATATCCAACAGACATTTTCTTTTCATGTTGCTTTCAAAACGAAAATGAAATTCTCTCAGAACCAAGTCTTAAATCAGATGGAATATGCAGTAATGAGCAAACCTAAAAAGAAAAAAAGAAATTTGGAAACATTAATGTTTTAATTAAGATTAAATATCACCCTCCTCTGTTCCTTAGTTATGTTCCATTACAATGATATTGTTATTCTATTTGAACACCAAATGATGAATAGTGTTTGTATTCCAACAATGAAATTAGGCACATACTTGTTTAAACCGTCCCCTAATTTTCTCCAAGTCATCTTGAAGTTTGTCATAGACTGGATCTTCCAAAGGAAAGTTCTGAATCATCTCTATTAACTGCTCCAGGACTTTTATTTTTTTACTGAAACAAAATTGATTTAATAATTATGTCACACACTGTATTTTCAAGGTCCATCTACATACAGGCCTATGTTTTAATGTATTTTACTATTCCTGTTCATTCTAACATCACACTGACAAGATGGGCAACTCAGAAAACCAAGACTATTGTTCACTATTACTAACAAAGGTAGTCATCACTGTAATAGTGGCTCAAATAACATGCTGACATTAGAATATAGGAAATCATTCCACATGATCTGTTACTGCAGTACTTAGAATTAATGGTGTCTCTAAAGACAAATTATATAACTTGGGATAAAGACACTCAGGCCATTTAGAACTATGGATCAATTCCAACTCAGCTTCCTTCTTTACACCCATTAATAGAGCAGCAGGAGATGTTACCACACCACTCTACAGTGATAACTCAGAACACCTGTTCTCTATCAACACTGTATCAAATCTCTCATTTCAGTACTTCTCCAAATCCATCCAATGGTTTTCGATAACTATCGACCAGTCTCCAACCTTCCCTTCTTGGGGAAGGTTGTTGAGAAGGGGTCAGTCTGCAGCTGAAGAGAACCCTGGAGGAAACGGATTATCTAGACCCATTTCAGTCAGGTTTCAGGCTAGAATTCAGTAATGAGACAATTTTGGCCATGCTTGTTGATGATCTGTGTGGAACCAGGATGGTGGTGGTTCATCCATCCTTGTGCTCCTTGATCTCTTAACAGCTTGAAATATCATCGACCATGGTATTCTTCTGAGCTGGCTCTGTGGCTTGGGGATTGGAGGTATGGTTTTACGGTGATTTTCTTCCTTTCTCCAGGGCTGGATCCAGTTGGTGTTGCTTGGTGGGGAGAGATCATCTCCTAGGCCCCTCGCCTGCCACAGGATTCTATTCTCTCTCTCCTCCTTTTCAACATCTACATGAAATTGCTGGGTGAGGTCATTCTGCCGGTTTGAGGTTTGGTATCATCAGCATACTGATGATACCGCACTGGGACACAACCTCAGTAGCCTCACTTGGCTTGCCCAGAGTCGAAATATATAATTGGGTATCATCATACCCAATTATATATTT